GAAATCAGCTGACAGTCTTATGGGAACTCCCTTGTAGGTAACCAAATGCTTTTCTCTTGCTGTTTTTAAGATTCTCTCTGTGTCTTGAACCTTTTGCATTTTGATGATGATGTGTCTTGGTGTGGGCCTCTTGGGGTTCATCTTGTTTGGGACTCTCTGTGCTTCCTGGACTTGTATGTCTGTTTCCTTCATCAAGTTAGGGAAGTTTTCTGCCATTATTGTTTCAAATAGGTTTTTGATTTTTTGTTCTCTCTCTTCTCCTTCTGGCACCCCCAAGATGTGAATGTTGGCATGCTTAAAGTTGTCCCAGAGGCTCCTTACACTATCATCCTTTTTTTGGATTCTTTTTTCTTTTTGCGGTTCTGATTGGGTGTTTTTTGCTTCCTTATGTTTCAAATCGATGGTTTGCTTCTTGGCTTTACCTACTCTACTATTGAATCTGTGTAAATTATTCTTTATTTCAGTTAGTATCTCCTTCATTTCTGACTGGTCCTTTTTTATGTTCTTGAGGCCCTCACTAAGTTTGCTGAGGTTCTCACTAAGTTCATTGAGCATCTTTAAAAGCAGTATTTTGGACTCAGCATCTGTTAGGTTGCTTATCTCCATTTTGCTTAGTTCTTTTCCCAGAGATATTTTCTGTTCTTTCATTTGGGACCTGTTTCTTTGTCTCCTCATTTTGGCTGCCTCCATGTTTGTTTCTATGTATTACTTAAGGAGAGGTATGGGGCTAGCTGAGACCAGATGCTGCTTGTTTGAAAGAATTTAGGAAAACCTGAAGACAGGCCAATCCTATGGTTAAGCAACTGGCAACAGCTTAGATGGGCCTGAAAGTCAAGTGGGGCGGGGCCTTAGGGAATCACCAGGGCAGGGCTACCAGTGTGAGCCAGGTTGCTGGAGTCCCAGGTATGGCGGCTGTCTGCCGCCCCAGGGAAGGGCTCACCAAAGGGACAAAGGCCTCTGACAGCATGTCTGTCCCGGAAAAAGCCCCCTCTCCAGCCCTCGCTCTAATGCCAAACAGCTCAGCTCTTCCCTGTATGTCTCTGGTGCCCCTGGAGCTGCCTCCCCTCCAAGCTCAGAGGGAGAGAGTCCAATAAGTCCGTGCATGGGCCCTTTAGGAGGAGCTGCCTGGGGCTCCAGCCGCCTCAGCCTCCCTGAGCCTCAGTTCCTGCTGGTTTTTCCAGCCAGAAGTTATGGGGAGTCTCTTCTTGGCACTGGAACCCTGAGCGGGGTGCCTGGTGTGGGACAGGGATTCCTCAGTTCTCAGGGAGGACCTTCCCAGTCGAGGTATCCTCCTGATTTTTATTCGCCGCACGTGGGTGTGAGACCAGCCCGTCCGCCTCCACCCTCCTACCAGTCTCGATGTAGCTGCTTCTTTAATTCTGTAGTTGTAGGACTTTCATTCAGCTTGATGTCAGGCGGTTCTGAATGATGGTTGTTCTGTAGTTTAGTTGTAACTTTGATGTGGTTGTGGGAGGACGCGATACTGCACTTGCCTACACCGCCATCTTGACCGGAAGTCCCATGATCAGTCTTTTTATACTAAGCTGTGGTTGATGTAAATACTGCCCCCTTGTGATAGTAACAGGTATGTTAAAAAAACAACACAGAATGGTAAATCATAGGAAACTTTAATGAACTGTATTGACTAAACTATGCCATGTATCATCTTTTGTATTATTGAAGCTATTGTTATATATTATTTTCATTAGCAAACCATCCCATGACAATGGATCATGTAGAGAAGAAGGTTAAGAAAAGAAAATATAGTGAGGATTTTTTACAGTATGGTTTTACCTCAGTAATTACAGCAGGAATCGAGAAACCAAAATGTGTTATTTGGTGTGAAGTTCTATCAGCTGAATCTATGAAGCTGAACAAACTAAAAACACCATTTTTTTTTTTATCCTCACCCAAGGACATTTTTCGACATTTTGTTCAGATAGAGTGGGGGGGGGGGAGAAACATCGACGTGAAAGGGACATATCGAGTGGTTGCCACCCACACGACCCAACCAGGGCCCGGGACAAACTACAACCGAGGTACGTGCCCTTGGTGGGAACCGAACCCAGGTCTCCCCAGACTGCAGACCAACACTCTAACTGCTGAACCAAACCGGCCAGGGTTAAAAACGCCATTTTGATAGCAAGCATCCAAGCTTTGCCAGCAAGGAAAGCAACTATTTTAGAAGCAAAGCTGATGGTCACAAGAAAGCCAGACTTGACACTGGTGGCAAGTACCACAAACAAAATGTAGCAGCCGTTGAAGATTCATATTTGGTGGCACTCAGAATTGCCAGAGCTATGAAACCTCACACCATTGCTGAGGATTTACTGTTTCCAGTGGCCAAAGACATTGTTTGAGTTATGATCAGAGATGAATGTTATGAAATTGGTGCAATTTCCTTATCTAATGACACTGTCCACAGAAGAATAGATGACATGTCTGCTGACATTCTTGATAAGGTAATCCAGGAAATTAAATCTGCTCCACTTCCAATATTTAGCATCCATCTTGAATCTACAGACATTGCAAATTGTTCACAGTTACTAGTTTATGCGAGGTATATTAACGATGGCGACTTGAAAGATGAGTTTCTTCTTTGCAAACCTCTTGAAACAACAACTACTGCATGTGATGTATTTGACATAGTTGGTTCATTTCTGAAAGAGCATAAGATCTCTTGGGGAAAGTTTTTTGCTGTTTGCACAGATTGTGCTCCAGCCATGCTAGGATGCCAATCTGGATTTCAAGATTTGGTACTGAATAAGTCACCAGAAGTCATCAGAACTCACTGTATGATTCATCAGCAAATGTTAGCAATGAAGACGCTACCACAAGAGTTACAAGAAGTAATGAAAAGCATCATCAGTTCTTTCAATTTTGTAAAGGCGAGCACTTTATTTATTTATTTATTTTTTATCCTCACTCGAGGACATTTTTCTCTTTTTTGTTCAGATAGAGTGGTGGGGGAAGAAGAGTGAGAGACAGAGAAACATCGATGTGAAAGGGACACATTGAGTGGCTGCCACCCGCACCACCAACCAGGGCCGGAGACAAACTGCAACCGATTACGCACCCTTAGCGGGAACCAAACCCAGGCCTCTCTGGACCGCAGGCTGACACTAACTGCTGAGCCAAACTGGCCGGGGCAAGGCGAGCACTTTATTTATTATTTTTTTTTCAATCTGCATTATTTTTTATTTATTTATTTATTTTTGTTATTATTATTATTTTTCAAATCTTTATTGTTGGATGTAAAATGTATTTCAGATGTTCCACATTTTTCCCCCATTGACCCCCTCCTCCCCACTCCCACCCCCCTCCCACCTTTTCCCACACTATTGTCTGTGTCCATTGGTTATGCATATAAGTTCTTTGGTTTATTTCTTCCCAACCCCCCCAACCCCTTTCCCTTTGAGGTTTGTCAGTCTAGCAATGAATTTGTGCTTCTTAATCCCTTCACCTTTTTCACCTATTCCCCCAACCCCTCTCCCAACTGGCAACTAACAAAATGTTCTCTGTATCTATGAGAGTGTTTCTGTTCTACCTGTTCATTTTGTTTGTAGATTCCATTGTTGATAGATCTGTATTCATTGCCATTTTGTTTGTTCATATATTTTATCTTTGTCTTCAAGAAGACCCTTCAACATTTCACATAATAATGATTTGGTGGTGACAAACTCCTTTAACTTTTTCTTGTCTGGGAAACTCTTTATATGGCCATCGATTCTAAATGACAGCTTTGCAGGATAGAGCAATCTTGGTTGTAGGTTCTTGTTTTTCATCACTCTAAATATTTCTTGCCACTCTCTTCTGGACTAAAAAGTTTCTTTTGAGAAATCAGCTGACAGTCTTATGGGAACTCCCTTGTAGGTAACCAAATGCTTTTCTCTTGCTGTTTTTAAGATTCTCTCTGTGTCTTGAACCTTTTGCATTTTGATGATGATGTGTCTTGGTGTGGGCCTCTTGGGGTTCATCTTGTTTGGGACTCTCTGTGCTTCCTGGACTTGTATGTCTGTTTCCTTCACCAAGTTAGGAAAGTTTTCTGCCATCATTGTTTCAAACAGGTTTTTGATTTCTTGTTCTCGCTCTTCTCTTTCTGGCACCCCCAAGATGCGAATGTTGGCACGCTTGAAGTTGTCCCAGAGGCTCCTTACACTATCCTTATTTTTTTGGATTCTTTTTTCTTTTTAAGGCGAGCACTTTAAACAGTCGGATGTTTTTGCAACTGTGCAACGAGTTGGATGCCCCGAACAATGCTCTGCTATTTCACATTGAAGTGAGATGGTTGTCGACAGGAAAAGTTTTAAAATGTGTTTTTGAGCTTTGTGATGAACTCAAAAGGTTTTTTAATCAGAAAGCAAGACCGCAGTTTGAAGCACTTTTCAGTAATAAAAGTGAACTGCAGAAAATAGCTTACTTGGTTGACATCTTTGCCATTTTGAATGAGTTAAATTTATCACTGCAAGGACCAAATGCAACATGCCTCGATTTGTCTGAAAAGATCTGATCATTCCAAATGAAACTTCAGCTTTGGCCAAAAAAAATTAGATGAAAATAAAATTTACATGGTGCCTACCTTATCTGCTTTCTTTGTCGAACATGACATTGAACCAGACAAAAGGATTATGATGATAATTTCTGTGAAAGAACACTTGCACATGCTTGCAGATGAAATTTCATCATACTTTCCAAATCTACCTGACACCCCAATTTCACTTGCCAGAATCCCATTCCCAGTCAAAGTTGAAGATATTCTTGAGACAATACAAGAGGAGTTCACTGAACTTATTATCAGCGATGCAGCGAGAACTGATTTCTCTACAATGCCAGTTACAAAATTCTGGATCAAGTGTTTGCAGTCGTATCCTGTTCTGTCTGAGACTGTGTTGCACCTTCTCCATTTCCAACAACATATCTTTGTGAAACAGGGTTTTCTAGCTTGTTGGTTATCAAGTCTAAATACAGAAGTAGACTTGTTGTGGAAGATGATCTTCACTGCGCTCTTGTAAAGACTGCCCCGAGAATTTCTGATCTGGTGAGAAAGATGCAATCTCAACCTTCACACTGACATTAGCTTTTTACCTATACTGTTACAAAATGTAGCAATGTAGTTTACTGTTGTTATGTTAGGACTGTTACCCATGCTACACCATGCTTCAAGACAAAATCTCATTTATTTGTAATTAGAAATAAATATTTCACAATATATAACTAAATATTGTTTTTGTGATTAATCACTATGCTTTAATTCTGTTCAATTTGAAACAATGAAAATACATCCTGCATATCAGATATTTACATTACAATTCATAACAGTAGCAGAATTACAGTTATAAAGTATTAACAAAAATAATTTTATGGTTGGGGGTCACCACAACATGCTGTATTATAAAGGGTCGCGGCATTAGGAAGGTTGAGAACCACTGCTCTAAACAACTGAGCTACTATGCCGGGGCAACCCCATTTGATTTTGATAAACAATCACCGAGACTCATATGTTTGTGTTTAACAACCACCTTGAATTTGGTCTACCTCAGAGGGCAGCATGGATCTAGGCTACCTTAGCATGAATGATTTATGACAGTCATGAACTTTGCAACTACATCAGTTTTTCTAACTGGCACCCAACACCACCTATATGTTAAGTGAAAATTTATGATTTATAAAACTCAACTCATTATACAGAGATACATGAATTGTCTTATATGTTCAGTCTATAACTCCCAAGACAGATAAGGAGGCAACTATGTCACAGAATTTATGATGGCTCCTTACTAAAGCTGAAGTTTTGGAGAAAACAAGAGAAATAACTGACCCTTTAGGGAAAAATAGCTCTAGCTAATCATTATACTCCAAATGATGAACCGGTTATAGCCCACTGCCATATCTTACAGTGGCTAATGGTTAAAGTCACTTTAATCACAGTTATGAACTATGTCTACATTTTGAACATGGCAGTAATAGAACCTAAGTGACTCTTTGGAAATATTAAACACTCTTTCAGTTTAATTTTTTTCCCCTAGTTTGGTATCTGAGACCTCTTGCTGAGATTTCTCAAGTAGCCCAGCCAGACCCATAGACATGGAAAGAGAATTCATATAAATACCTTGGTGTGCCCAATAGCTTCCTGCGTGCACCCTCAAAGTGAAGAAAAGGAAATGTTAGTTTAGATTCTGAAATGCAGCAAATCTCTCTCCATACCCTGCAAAAAAGTAGAAGTACAGAAGATTCAGTGGAATAAATTTATGAATCTCAAGAAAGAATGAGATTATATAGACAGCCATTAAAAATGACAAGTATATAGAACAGGTTGAGAAGCAGATATCTTTAGATAAGATAATGCAAAGTGTAAAAAGCAGAACACAAAAATAGTAAGCATACCTGCCAACTGGAAAAAGACAAAGTGTCAGAAAAAAAAAATGTTTCCAGTCTAGAGATTTTCAATAGTATAAAGCTTAGTTAAAAACAATAAAATTCTAAGTAACTTATTTTCAAATATCCCTATCAATCAGGAACAGACACATATACATGACTACTAATTGCCCTGAATCCAAGAAATACCTTGTCCCTCTCTCCTCTGCAGAATTCTCTAAACAGCATTCCACCCTTCCTAGCCTTTGAGAGTATAGAACACCAGCACTCAAATACCTGAGAGCAACAGAAGAAAGCTGAAAATATAAGTAGGGGTAAAAAAAATTACTTGGAAAAAAAGGAATGTGGGGAACCCACTTCCAACTTTAATAACTAATTATTAAGTCATATGATTTCTGAAGAGTGTCTGGGATTTATCCAGTTCTGACTTTCAGCTCTAATAATGCCCTATGTCTACTTGTCCCATGTGGTTCCTCTAACTCATGAAAATGATGTTCTATTTACAAAATGGTGCCCTTGGACAAGAGAGCAATATCAAAGAACCACAAATTATGCACAGGAAAAGTGGAGCCCCTTTGGCCACTGGAAGTATATCCAAGAGCAGAGTAGATGCAGAGGGAAGAACTGCATTTGGGTTCTGGGACTCAGTTACTAATTCTCATTAAGCTACCTGTAGACACTTGACCACTCAAGTATAGGTGCTATTCTCCAGGGCTCTGAGTACTGGTGTTCTGGCTGCCTTTAATTCTGAGAGTGATCATCCCAGTTCAGGCCAGGGAGTCATGCTAAAAATGGAATGAGAGAGAAGTGGGCAAACACTATACACACATACACAAACACACACATCCTGGCACAGCAGCCTGGGGCAGAGCAGACTTCCTTTTGGGAAACCATGCAAAGCTGCAGAGGGCACACACAGCCTCATCCATAGCCTCTGTGGAGTCACCTTTGCACTTTGCCATGCTTAGAAATAGTTAATAATCCTATGATGGAAGACCCATGGCAGCTATCATGCTCACAGATTCTGCCTTTCTGCTGACAGGTTGGTTCACAGGGCTCCTTCCAGGTAAATTGCCTGCTACGCATCATGTAATACAGACAAACACAGTCACCATCCCCACCCCAACCATTATTTGACTAAAACAAGAAGCTGGCACTTAAACCAAAGGCTTATAAGAACTGATCCTTGAGACAACTTGGTACTTTCCTGTGCCTTTATTCTGCCCAATAAAGGCACTCTATAGGGATGGCTTAATTTAAGCCACACGGAATGGTAGCAAGGGAGGTGCAAGCAGCCCAAGGGATACACTGAAGTACCGAAAGGAAATATTCAAATGTATTTATATTTATTTTTATCTTTTCCATTTTTATTTTCTATATTTATATAAGTTTGAGAATAGTACTATATACATATGCATTTTACCCTTGAACAACATGGATTTGAACTGTGTGGGTCCACCTATACATGTTTTTTTCCCCAATAAATATATTTTCTCTTCCTTATGATTTTCTTTTTCTTTTCTTTTCTTTTTTCTTTTTGGAGAGAGGAAGAGTGAGAGAGATAGAAACATCGTGTGAGGAAGAAACATTGATCGGCTGCCTCCTGCATGACCCCTATTGGGGATTGAGCCCACAACTCAGGCATGTGTCCTGACCGGGAATTGAACCACAGTTCAATTCCATGGGAAGATGCTCAATTCACTAAGCCACACTGGACAGGCTGATTTTCTTTTTTTCTTTTTAATTGAATTTATTGGGGTTACATTGGGTAATAAAATCATATAGGCTTAAGGTGTACAATTCTATGTCACCTGTATATTGTATTGTGTGTTCACCACCCCAAGTCATGTCTCTTTCCATCATCTTATGTTTTTCTTAATAACATTTCTTTTCTCTAGCTTACTTTATTGTAAGAATACAGTATATAATACATATAACATACAAAATGTGTATTAGCAGACTGTTTATGTTATTGGTAAGTCTTCCAGTCAGCAACAGACTATTAGCAGTTGAGTTTCTGGGGAGTCAAAAGTTTTATGTGGCCCGGCCAGTGTGGCTCAGTGGTTGAGCATCGACCCACGCACCAAGAGGTCACCAGTTCAATTCCCAGTCATGACACATGCCCAGGTTGTAGACCAAATCCCCAGTAGGGGGTATGCAGAAGGCAGCCAATCAATGTTGTAGCTCATTGATGTTTCTCTTTCTCTCTCCCTCTCCCTCTAAAAATCAATAAAGAAAAAAAATATTTTTTAAGTTTTATGTGGATTTTTTACTTCCCTGGGGGGTCAGCACCCGAATCCCCATGTTGTTCAAGGATCGACTGTATATAGTTTACAAAAATATGTACAAAAATATACACATAATGGAGGTGTATGCTCAAATATTGTTTTTAATAGGGATATGTTATAAAAAAGTTTGAAGACCAGAAGATACCATTGTGTTTGGGGTGTTTATATGTAAGGTGTGGTCCTAACCCCCACCCCATCCCTATCAGAATCCCCTGTGGAAGTTGTTAAAAATGCAGATTCCTTGACCCATCTCAGATCTACAGGTTCTGAATCTCTAGGAGTGAGATGATTTAAGGAGCTTCCCAGTCTGATACTATTGGAGTCTGTGAACTACTACAATAGAAGAATTAGAGAGGCAGACATAAAGAAAATGGGCTATGAAAAAACACCCAAACAGAACAGCAAAAAGAAAAGAGAATCCAAAAAAATGATGATAGTGTAAGGAGCCTCTGGGACAACTTCAAGCGTGTCAACATTCACATCTTGGGGGTTCCAGAAAGAGAAGAGAGAAAACAAGAAATCGAAAACCTGTTTGAAACAATAATGGCAGAAAACTTTCCTAACTTGGTGAAGGAAACAGACATACAAGTCCAGGAAGCACAGAGAGTCCCAAACAAGATCAACCCCAAGAGGGGACACATCAAGACAAGACACATCATCATCAAAATGCAAATGGTTCAAGACACAGAGAGAATCTTAAAAGCAGCAAGAGAAAGGCAGCTAGTTACCTACAAGGAAGGTCCCATAAGACTGTCAGCTGATTTCTCAAAAGAAACTTTGCAGGCCAGAAGGGAGTGGCAACAAATATTCAGAGTGATGAAAAACAAGAACCTACAACCAAGATTACTCTATCCTGCAAAGCTGTCATTTAGAATCGATGGCCATATAAAGACTTTCCCAGACAAGAAAAAGTTAAAAGAGTTCATCACCACCAAACTGTTATTATATGAAATGATGAAGGGTCTTTTTGAAGAAAAGGATAAAATGTATGAACAAACAAAATGGCAATGAATACATATCTATCAACAATGGAATCTACAAACAAAATGAACAGGTAGAACAGAAACATTCTCATAGATACAGAGAACATTTTGTTGGTTGCCAGATGGGAGGGGGGTTGGGGGAATGGGTGAAAAAGGTGAAGGGATTAAGAAGTACAAATCCATTGCTAGACTGACAAACCTCAAAGGGAAAGGGGTTGGGGGGGTGGGAAGAAATAAACCAAAGAACTTATATGCATAACCAATGGACACAGACAATAGGATGAGAAAAGGTGGGAGGGGGGCGGGAGCGGGGAGGAGGGGGTCAATGGGGGAAAAATGTGGAACATCTGTAATACATTTTACATTCAACAATAAAGATTTTTTAAAAAAGAAAATGGGCTATGGAAAGTTCCAAGACAGTGCAGACAGGAACATTAGAAGCCCACTTCTGAAGGGAAGACCAATAATTGGCAGCTAAAAGCGGGTCTTCCTGGGGCCTGACCAAGGAGGAGCCATCCTCCTTGTTTTTCCACAACTCTGATTCTAAGAGTATTGAGACAATGCTTTATTTTCCTAATTACCCTTCATTTGAATCCTCATCACCTAAGGAAAACTGAATACTTCCTCTCATGATGTTTAAGGAGCAGGGGTGTGGAATCTTAGAAACCAAAAGTCCCTCACATAGAGAGGGCATGTAATCCAGGTGAACTAAAAAGACAACTGACATAATTTCACTAATCACGTACCTTAAGAAGTGAGAATGAAGGAGGAAGAAGGGAGCATATTGGCTAGAGTTGTCTGTAAGCATTTTATTTTATTTTCAAGTTTATAATATTTTAAACTTATTTTGGCCCTGGCTGGTTTGGCTCAGTGGTAGAGCATCAGCCCGCGGACCAATGAGTTGTGGGTTTGATTCCGGTCAAGGGCATGTACCTCGGTTGCGGTTCTTCCCTGGCCCTGGTCAGGGTTGTGCGGGAGGTGACCAGTCAATGTGTCCCTCTCAGGTCAATGTTTCTCTCTCTCCCCCTTTCTCTCCCTCCCACCCTATCTGAAGATCAATAGAAAATATCCTCCTGTGAGGATTTAAAAAAAAAAAATCCTCAGGTGATGATTAAAAGAAATACAAATTAAACTTATTTTTATTGTTGAATGTATTAAAGATGTACCCCCTTTTTCCCTCCCATTGACTCCCTCCTACCCGCTCCTGCCCCCCTCCTGCCTTCCCCACTATTGCCCGTGTCCATTGGTTATGCATGTAAGTTCTTTGTTTTACCTCTTCCCGCCTCCCCTACCCCCTTCCCTTTGAGGTTCATCAGTCTAACCACCACTTTGTACTTAATATCTTCACCTTTTTCTCCACCCCCCTAATCCCCCTCCCATCTGGCTACCAACAAAAAGTTCTCTGTATTGGACTGACAAGTGTGGTTCAGTGGTTTAGCATTAACCCATGTACCAAGAGGTCACCTGTTCAATTCATGGTCAGGGTACATGTCCAGGTTGTTGGCCAAATACCCAGTGGGGTGGGCACACAGGGGGCGGCCAGTCGATGATTTCTCTCA